TCGTGGGCTTGAGACTTCTGAGCCCGGATTCAGGATCTTTCAGTCCGTATGCACAGAAATGGAAATCTTCTCAGGTCACGGATGGATCTGAAAACAGTTGCTGCATACAATTCAGATACCATATCTTGGATGTCTGAGGATTTTCAATGATGAAATATCTTCCGTGCTTCAGCTGGTATCTCGCAATGGATGTTACAAACTCAACCATGGGAAGGTAGCGTTTCCGCTTCTCCCAGACTCTTTGTTGTTCTGCATGTTTGACCACGGCCCACAGACCGGTGCCATGAGGATTACATCAGGTGCTTGCTCCCTGATGATCTCCATGACCATGTGTCGTCGCTTGGATGTCATTACGTCGAATCCGGCGCGGATGTCCACGGAAGTCCCAACCTTAAGACCTGAGAGTGCACAGCACTGACTGAATCTGGCACTTCCTGCAAAGATCTCAAGAACGTGGATCTTCCCTTTACGTACACAATTCCAGTGTGCTTGTTCAGGAACGAATGTGAGGTCCTCGACGAACATGTTCTCTGCCGGATGAGGTGCTGCAGGCTTGGGATGCGTACTGGCACTGAGGATTTTGGCTTAGGAGCTGGTGCGGATAACTCCTCTTCTTCTTGGTATCGGCAGAGGAGCTGGGTTGCTCCTTCTGCAAGGATTCTCGCTCTTCTGGCAATAGAAGATCAATTCCAGGTTTTTCCGGAGGGATTTCTGAACCTCGTCATGTTAACCTTGATGAATCGAGTCATATTCCTCCCTTGCTTCCATCGGAACGGATCTTGGATTGTCTTCCTGCCAGTAAAACACCTTGTCCTTCACCTGAAGAGGCTTAGAACTCATTCGGAGATTTTGAGCAAGGTCTCGTCGGATGTCTTCGGATTGACGTTCTTCTTGGAATGCTTGCTTGGACCGCTGCTTGATCTGGATGGCTGTCATCTCCTCCTCATTCCTGTCAATCGTTAGCTGAGTTGGTGTTGCGACATCGAGTTGGATGAGATCTGCTGGTCGTCTTCCGAATGCGAGCTCTAATGGTGTTACACCCCCGTAGGTGACAGTCTGATTCCTGACAGTTGCAGCTGCCTTCACCAGCTGTCTATATGTCACTTTCTTCAGTGTGGCAGGTGCTGTGCCTGCCTTGATGGAACTGAGCATGATTTTGAGTTGTGCCTTCAAGATTCGAACTGCAGCTTCAGCTCGATTTGGCCATGGTGTATTCGGTCCCAGGCTTGATCTGCGACAACTGATTTGGGCTGCAAGTGGTACTGGTCAAAATAGTTGTTGAGGACAGTGATGTTCTCGACTTCTTGCGTAGTTGTCATGTTGTTCCAGGATGACAAAAACAATGATGTGTTCTCCTGTTCCAAGAGGAACTTGACAGTGATCAATGAATGTCATGCCGCCAAAGGTGTCCGCTCGAAGACTCGTCTTGCTTCGTGATGGTGCATGTTTTGCCGCTTGGCAAACTTCACATTCACTTCTCATTTTGTCAAATAGATCGAATGTTGATTTCGGCAAATGAGGTGAGCGAGTTCTAAATCGAAATTGATCTGTTGTCATGTGATGATGCTGGAGGTGGAGCTTCTTCAACTCTTCGGGATTTGACAATCGCTTGTGGATTCTGCCTAATGCAAGCGGAAGCGTTGTTGGTTCTTCTGAGGATGGTGCGAAAGGATCTGGCTCAATGGTCGACCGGCCCTTCTTGTCGATGATCCTGTCTGCTGCCGACCCTGAGCCTGCTACTTCGTCCTTAAGCGAATTGTCCGCGAAGGTGAAAATCGTCTTACCTATCCACAGGTTAATCATTGGTTTGTTTGCCTGGGATGTAAGTCTCCAATTGTCTTCTAGGATGTCTGGATTTCCACCTTCGGACGCATCAATGATTTCCGTAGAACGCTCTCGGCTAATGTTATCAGGATTGATTGGACATTCCTTGGCTTTATTTGGTGTGAACAGTCCCTTTCGAGGCGTGATGTGCACACGGATGAGCTGCTTGTTCTTCTTGTCAAGGATTCAATGGTCCTGCTTCTGAGACCCAATCATTTTAGGAGTTGCTAGGTCCTCCTTCGTCTCGGATGATTTTGCTGCACAAACAGTTTCACTCTTGGAGATATCCCCGGAGGGAAACTTGATGCTGTTGTCATCATCGTAGTTGGTGAGGCCCTTATGAGCCATTTCTCCATGTGCCTTCACTCTTGCAACTCCAGCAAGATCGACGAGCGCATGTCCTGTACCGGATACCGGAACTGCTTGACGGTTCATGCCAAAAGCCTTGCGTGTGATCTTGTCACATTGAGGTGTGTGTGCTCGATGGTCATGTAGAGGTTCCGCATCTCGGTGCAGTTCCTTGTTCAAGAACGTCGATGTTGGTACTGCGTGGAGGAGTTGTGTGATATCGAAGATGCAGGGTCCAATTTACCCTGGCGGTTGGTCTCGGCCGGGATGTACTGATAAGAGATGATGTCCTTCATGGGTTCGATGGCCTGAGTAAAACGCTGGATTGCATGCCAGCTGCCCATGGGTCTGGTACATCCGTTGTCCAGGATCGCATAGGTCGGATTGTGCTGAGGGTTGATGACAGGCGCCATCAGCTTTGTTGCCAAAAGGCTGTGATTTGTTGTGACGGAAAAGTTGTGTTCTGAAACTGCATCTGATTGGATCAGCTTCCCGTGGATGGCCTCTTTCTCATGATGCTCATATGCGTCATGGAATGCCAGTAGCCCTTGTCCTGTGCTGGATGTCCCATGGGATGAGTACCAGCCTTGTTCATTCCATGTCCATGATTGATCCCAATCTTGGTCTGTCCAACCGGCATAGGTAGGCTCTGTGGATGGTGCAGTCTGCTGGATGGCTGCGAACGTCTTGGATTTTCCCTTGTCATGTCCGCCTTTTCCTTTGCCATTCTCATAGGGTGGATAACCCTTGTTTCCATCATAGGGATATTGGAATTTTGATTTTCCTTTCTTTCCCTTCTTTCCTTTGCCTTTTCCCCAATATGCCTGGTCGTAGGGATCATAGTTCTCATTGGCCATATTGGCCTTCCCGCCAGAACCGCTTTTTCTGAAGGGTTTAAAGCCACCTCGTTGGTGACTGCCCTTTTTGTTTCCTGATTTTCCTTTTCCTTTTCTCTTCTTGAATCTGAAATTCCGCCCTGACACTTTTCTTGCTATGAACGCATCGTTCTCCTCGAGGACCCAGAACGTCTCTTCATCGTTTTTTGACATGAATCCTTCAAGTCCTTCTTCATCCTCAACCCAAAAGCCTTCTTCTCCTTCGTATTCACCTTGTTCGATGATGAAGAATGTGTTGCTTCGGTTGCCTCCTTGAGGTCGGATGGATGGATCTTGAATGGATGTCCTGGTCGTGATGAGGAGTTCATGGTAGTGCGTCTTCAGCATCTCATAGGAGTAGTTCTCTAGTGAAATGTTTCTCAATGACATTGCACTTGTCAGTCTTTGATCTGACAATTCACTCTGTATAATGAAAAACTGCGCAATGAGATTATCCCCGAAGGGAAATGCGTCCCGCTGTCTGTCCTGCATTCCCGTGATATGTCTGAGGACTGTTGGATCATCCTCATGGAGCAGGACTGGAGGCGGTACTCGAGTACCGGCTGCTTGCTGATGTCGAGCAATTGTTCTTGCATTTGCGTCCTGTACGGACTGTCGAAATGATGGGGACTGTGCCGTGAAAACGGGCATCAAGTTCATCCATGCTGCCTTCAATCTCATGAGAAGGATTTCGAATTTTGATGTAAAAATGAGGAACTCTTGGTTCTGCCTTCTTTGATTGAAAAAACTGAGGAGCCTGTACAGACACACGTTGGTCGCACCTGACTCCTTCATCAGGATCTTGCAAAATGTCATTTTGGAGGACTGCCTTGTACATATAGGCATCTCCTGTGGAATAGGTCAATGTGCAACAAAAAGCAACACACAGGGTTGGGGGGGGGTTATCCTCTATCCTCTCTTAGGTGTCCGACACGCCGAGCAATGTCGGCGGATATATATATATATATATGTATATATGTATATATATATACACACGTACATGTGTGTATATATACCTTTAGTATGAGACACATAAAATAAGTAGAGTGCAGAACAAAACAAGAGAAGCACATAGATTTTACCTAAACTTCATATGAACGTAATAACCATAAGAACACAACATCTTTTAATCATCCAGGCTGGAACTGTGACAATGCTCCACTTTACAAAGGTGTACTGCGGTATTTGGGGCTTTTTTTCAATTCTCTGACTGCAGGGGCTGAGGGGTCTTCTGTCCAAATATTGGTACAGCGACAAACACCACCCAATATATTCTAGATTTTAGAATGTATTTGCTCATGATTAATCAAAAACTGGGCGGCTTTACGTCTGTTTTTGAGCACGTTGTTTTGCTGTCATGAATACCTGTACAGTTGATTAGTTGCACATATGTAGCTACAGGTTCAAACACGCGTGCAAACACGTTACAATTTCAAAGCCAGGTGTGAATGATAGCCATGTTAGTACCAAAGTTATAGCAATTATTGTTTTAGATGTTGTAATGAGTTATGTTTGCGATTTAGCCTTTTTTCGAAGAACAAAACATGGTTTATTGCAGTCTGTTCTATTAGGACGATATCTCAATCTATATTACATGTACTTATATGTTTATAAATGCTTGGCAAGACAATGCACATGTATGCACACATACACACGTACATATACATATATGTATGCATATGTTGTACGTACGTTGAACTACTTGTGAATTATAGCTCGGAGATGCAGTTTTTTGCACAAGACACATTTATGTGGTTTTGCTCCATCATGGCAACCCCTCTCCATGCCACACTGGCAATGCCTTTCCGCAGAGCAGCAACATCAGCAGTTGCCGTTTGTTAGCTGATTGACTTACAAGTGAATGCATAAAAACCATGACATCAGAAAACGAACTAGCCCAAGACAGACATCAGGGTGCGCTCGCTCTTGGTCCAAGTTGTGAGTGTAGCACAGGCCTTGGCCGGGTGGAGAAGGCCAAGAGGGCCTTGCTGGCGGTGTGTGCCGCGGGGGATGATGTGGAGGCCTTGTGCGCCTTGGCGTACCTGGAGGCCCGGGAGAAGCCCGGAGGCAGAGAGGCAGTGCAGTTCATGCGCAAGGCCATGTGCCTCGGTCAGGACAAAGGGAGGGAGGGAAGCCAAAGGCAACAAACTGAGTGAGGTGAGGAAGGGAAGCGAGTAGGGGAAGCAGCAAGGGGGAATAGGGGCTAGCGTTGGCCCTCGTTTCTCGTTGCTTGGACCGGGTTTTTTGTTACACACTTCCAAGAGGGAAGCACTTTCGTTCTCCTGAAGTATTGAATGCAGACCCAGGCATTGTTTTTTGCATTGCACCACATCAGGGACGCGCTTTGAATGGATGCAAAGAGGAGTGACTAGAACATCCCAGGTAGACCGAAAAGTGGAAGTTTGGTGCGCTTTGCCAGTTGTATATGAGGTGTTGTCTCACATGGATACAGGTTTGCAGCAAGTGTGCCTGAATTATCACCGTCTGGCATGTTTTGCATGTGTTGAAGAAGATGAGGATTATCAAATAACTACTCAGGGCACCAGCAGCAACCTGCACTGTGATGAGGTCGACCTCAGCCTCTTCATTTGTTTGCTTGTTTGTTTGATTGACTGATTGGATTGCTTGCTTGCATGTTTGTTTGTTTGCCTGTCTGTTTGTCTGTCTGTGTATCTGCCTGTCTGCCTACCTGCCTGCCTGCCTGCTCGCTGGCTGGCTGGCTTGCTTGCTTGCTTGCTTGCCTGCTTGCCTGCTTGCCAGCCTGCTTGCTTGCTTGCTTGCTTGCTTGCTTGCTTGCTTGCTTTCTTGCTTGTTTGCATGTTTGCTTGTGTGCCTTGTTGGTTTGTTTCTTTGTTTGTTTGTTTGTTTGCTTGCTCGCTTGCTTGTTTGCTTTGTTTGTTTGTTTCTTTGTTTGCTTACGTTCATCACTGATTTGTTTTGTTTGCTTGCTTGTTTGTTGGTTGGTTGGTTGGTTGGTTTGTCGTTTTTCTCCGTTTTGTTTGCTTTTTGTTTCCCCGACGTATATCAAGGGAGCCGCGCCATTTTTTGGGATTCCTAAAGCCATGGCAAAGGAGAGTTTCCCTAGGCCAGGTGAATCCGCCCCAAAAACTTCCGGGGAGTGGTTTCGTTTCGGGGCGTGCCCAGGGAGCTGGACCCGGAGAACCCGGTGGTGCTGTGCCAGGCGGCGAACCACGCCTTTCTGGTGGGCTTGGACCAGGCGTGTTGACTCGAATCCTCGAATTGGATGCCCGAAACCTATGCCGGTAGGTCGTTTTATAAGGACTCGGCTCTTCCGTGGCCTTGGTTTTTAGACCAATTCCTACTTCCCTTCTGGGCCAGACTGAGACACGCAAAAAGGGACACAGGTCAGAAAGCCCTACGGCCATACTACAACCCTCGTGGGGCCTTGCCATTTGTCCTAAATTATTTAATCGATTTTCGTGGTCACAGGATGGCGTGTTCAACAGCCCGCAGGCGGCTGTTCAAGTTGGCATACATCATCGATTTCAGCTGTCGCCTCAAATTCGGACCCCTGGATTGCCACAACGTGCGTGGGTGTCATGATCAGGGAGCGAATTCCCCTGTAGATTTCAAGGCCCCCTTTACTTCCCCGCATACTTCTTCTCCAACTTGGGGATTTCGCGCCCAGTTTCCCTTTTAACCAAACCCCCAAACAGGGGGGCCCAGTGCCAAAAGAGTCACGCAGACCCACGGGTGGGCACTTTAACCATTGGTTTCAACATGTTTGAACAACAACTCCCTATAAAGGGGGACACCTAAGGCTGGTACCAAGGCCACTAGTTTTTGCTCCTTTACAAGACCAGAGGCTAGCTGTTTCAACAATAACACGGGAGCGGCTGGCTGCTTCACGCCAACTCTGGGTATCGACATTTTGTGTGCCCCGTTCCGATCCCACTCCGCCCAGAGCGGCGCTCCACGCCTGGAGAACGGCGAGGTCCCGCCGAGCTGGAAGATGGCCAGGAGCTTCCTGGAACAGGCGGGCGAGCGGGCGAGTCGTTGGCTGCATGCGACAACCTACCTTTGGTTTCCTCTTGAGGGGACGCAAACTATTGACCAGCCTAAAGTTTTTCCCCGGGAAAAAATAAAAAGGAGGTGGTTGAAGCGAAGATTTCTATTGGCTTGGAATTTCACTCTGGGGTTGTATACCTTGTGACAGAGGCCCACAACGGCAACCAAGAGGACAAGGGGTCTATCTGGAAATAAATCTAAACTGCAATCCCAGAGTGTAATTCGCAAATACTCGGACGAGGGGTGGCAAGGAGTCTTTTTCGTTTAGCTTGGCAAAAGGGGGCCAAAGGAAGCCCCCCAGGTTTCCAAAGGAAGCCCCTTTCAAGCTTTCGTTTCCTTTGGAGAACATCCAAAAGTGGCCCCCAACTTTGGGAAGCCGTTTGTATTCGGCAGCGACATCGTCACCGCCTTTTGTCTCGCAGCTGGCAATGCCGAGCCGTTCGGCACCGTTTGCAAGGGGCTGGCAAGGGAGCCCCCTTACTTGCCAGATGATGAATAGCAAAGGCAAGTTACTGGCGGTAACTCCTGGTGTCGAGGAGAAGTCTGATGGTTGTAAGGGCGGTAGTCGCAAAAGCCTCACTAGGTCCCACCAGACCAGAAAAACCAGAGGAATGAAGTATGTTGCTACTTGTTTGTGGATATCCGCAGGTGCTTGGCCTGTGCTTGTGTGAAGTCTAGCATGGCTGATGTTCATTGCTTGACTCGGGCTGGAACTTTTCATGGCAGCCTTGACCTGAAGTGGTGTGAGTGCTCGGGCGGTTGGTTTCTTCCACGTCTTGGGGGCAGTGGCTTGAACAAGAGCTGCTTGAGGTCTCAAGTTTGGCTGCCGTGTGTCGTATGTTCAGGAAAAAAACAACTTGATAGAATTGTTTGGGTTGATGCGCTTGACAGCCTCTTTAGAAGATGTCAGTCATGGAGTCCCCTCCTCGCTATTGTGCACTGAACAGAGAAGTTCTTCGTGCAGTAGCCAGGGAAGTCAATGACAGAAGACTGAGGAAGGAACAAAGAAGTTCAGCGTGCTTAGCGTTTCATCAACTTCACTTTCGAAGCGACCGCTGAATGAGGGTTGCTCACAAAGGAGATAGTCCATTTTTGGACCTTGTGTGACGTACTCCTGAAAAGAAAGTACAGGGCACCAGGGCCCAACGTCGGGACCTTTTTGATTAAAGGATTCGCCGAGGCCTTGGAGAAGTGCGAGAATGAGGAGCTTGCCTCCGAAGCGCGCTATCAGCTTGGCCGGATGGCGCATGCGAAAGGAGAGAGCGAGGGGAGCGAGGAGAGCGAGGGGCTGAGAGCTAGTGAACGTCGGATCGGATCACTTCGCACAAAGGGGTGGCTTGGGATGTTCCTTACAAGGGCCTTGTAACCCAAATCCTGAGAACGGAGGGATTTGGCCCATCGCTAGGCTAAGAGACAGAACGAGGCCGCAAGCGCCTTGCCCAGTTGGGCCTGCACTTGAAAGGATGTCTTGGGCAAGCATCCAGCATTGGAGTTGCGGCAGCGGTTGCAGCCGGAATCTTGGACAGATAGGATTGGCGCTGGTGTCCTCTAAGCTGCCTTTTGTTGGCAAGCGCAGGTATCGCAGTGAAGCCGACGGTGGTGTGGCCTGTTTCTTTGGAAGGATTTATGCATTTTCTCCGCTTTTGCATTGTGACTTGTTGAGTGGTTTTTTGCGTGCTGCCACGGCGGCCATAGGTTCATGGTTTGTTGGAGATGCCTCTGTGGCTTTGCGTCTTTGGGCTTTCCCACTCCTTGGCTTACCCTCTGAGCTTGGTTTGACCGCTCTGTCCCATGATTTTATTCATTTGAATGTGCCTTGAGTTCATCTCAAGCACCAATACTTGGCAGTGTGATGCGAAGCTGGCTCGAGGCGATCCCTGACTCGCTTCTGGGAAGGAACTCCGAATCGAAGCATTTCTTTCGGAACCCAGAATGAAATGGAACCCACCCACAGGTGTTCTTGACAAGGACGGTCCAAATCATGAACCTTCAGTCAGTCAGGGGTCTTGCCAGCCAGGTTGCACGCAAGGACAGAAAATTTGGACACGCTCGTTTGGAAGTTTCCGGGATCGGCAAATAACGAGCATGCTCTTCTTCCCGGACAGGAGACATGACACAATGGACATGTTGTTTTGAAAGCCCCAGCTCGCAACAGGAGATTTTAATCTCGCCATCAACGAGTACAAGCAGTGCCTGGAGAGCTTTCCCAACCACCTGGCAGGCGGAAGATGTCAAGCCAAGGAACTCTTCAAGGGCCAAGATTCAATTTGTTGTCCCTTGACCCTTGACCGCCCCCAAAAAAGGGCCACACGAGTTTGGGCCTGCTTTTGACCGTTTCCAGGGGGTTCTCGAAGTCCGAAACTGCGGTCATTTCCCGGAAATTTCACCTGGCATGATGGTAGCACCACATCATACCGTCCAAATTGTTGATCATTGAAATCTTGGTTGACTTGGACTGTCCAAAGGGTCCCACTTCTGCTGAGTTGGTTTTCCATTTCCCCGATGGTTGGCTTTGCACATCGCCTTGGCCCGAGGCATCTACGCCCTGGCGCAGGTGATGGTGCGGCAGCGGCTCTTCTCGCAGGCCATCAAGGCCACTGACCGGGGATGGCGGGCTTTGGCCTTCGGCTGTCGGAAAGCGCAGCCGGTTTTGGGTCAAAGGGGTGCTTAACATGGGCAACCCCGAAAATTGGGTGGTTTCCGTGTGGTTTCCCTTCAGCACAACCCCAAAAGTGCGAATCATTTGTTCAAAGAAAGTTTAGACAATCCTTGTCGTGCTGAACTTGAAATGACAATGCCTGACCCCTTGCTTGCAAGAAAAGTACGCCCAAACATGTGGGAAATTGAAATCTCTGGGCATCCTCGACAATTTCTAGAAGGGCCTATAATGTTCCCTCGACCAGTATCAATTTAAGGGTCCCTATCGATGTCCATTTCAAGTGTATGGAGCGACCTTTCCAGAAGTGGAGCGCCCTAAACATCATAGACCAAATTCTGGAAAGGCTTAGGTATTCTGGAAGATGCTCGGCCACTTCAGGAACCCTAAGAAACTCCGTTTGAGGTTCAAGAAACGGCCTTAAGATAAATTTGTGTCATAGATGAAGCCTGGACTTGATTAGCAAAGCACGGGATGGACTTTAGTGGGCGAAAGGCTTTTCTCGGAGTGGATCGGCCGTTTTAGGGCGTGGACAAATCGTGGATACACTCGAAGTTCTGCATAAGGCTGATCAGAGCGAACGTCAGGATGGTGCAGCGGCAGTTTGCAGCGAACAAATGAATCCATCAATTCACGGTCAAAAGGCAAGGCTGAGATGGACTGCTGGAAATTCGCTTGGACTTTCATGCATGGGTAAAGGCACACACACAAATGAGCAGCAATGCGGCATTTGTTTCGCAGTGTCGAGTGGCGATGGATCATAGAATCTAGCCAGTGTAGGAATCAAACAAACAATTACTTTGTGATGATCATCTCGCACAGCCCTGCGTGCAATTGCTACACGAAACCAGTGTTTGTTTCATGCTTTTGATTTGCGCAACCCTTTGCGCACTTTGAAGCTGCTTGAGGTTCCTAGCAGTTTCAGCATCAAGATAAAAGGAAGTAATCAATGAACTGGATAAAGCAAGCCGACTCAGCTTAACTAAGAACAGACACCTGCGGGACCAGGAATGCTACCTCCATACCGACCACATCTTGTAGCATACCGACCACATCTTGTAGCGTAGGAAGACGAGCCACAAAGCGGGGGGTTCAGGCTCAATCGCTCCCTCCCGAATGAGCTTGAGGTACTGGAGAGGGCCCCGAGCCACTTGCAGGAGCAAAAGGAGGCAGGGATGGGTGGAGGCTCAGGTGCAGGTGGGGGTGCATGGTTCGGTTCACGATGTTCACAAAAGCGGGCATGTCCTAGAACAGGGGACCCCTGAAAAGGGCTGGTTTCGATTTTGGCTTCTTTGTGGACAAAATCCAAGAGCGGTTCTTGGTGCTCTTTGGGCCACGTGGTCTTCCGCTCGGCGTCGAGGTGCTGAAGCTTCTGACCTCAGCCTATCTCGCCACGGAGCACTACATGCAGGTGCGGGCCCAGGGTGCAATCGAACGTGTTCAAAGTCACAAATCATAATGTTTAAGGCTATTAAGGCAACCGCAACAGGATGTGAGTCTGATTCAGTAGGGGGACGTACGTTCTGGCCTCCGCTTTGCTGATCGCAGCCGGCATGTTTCGCTTGGGCACTGGCGGGTGACATGTTTGCATTGGGCGGGCTTCTCCGTGATGTTTGCATGCTTTACCAAACGAGGGGCGCGGCCATGAACAAATCTCTGAGTGGTAGTGCATACCACTTTATGATGAGTACGTGTATAATGCGTATATATATATATACATACAAAATGTACATGTTGCTTTTGGGGAGAGGGGTATGGCAATAACAAGCCTTCTAGGGTCGTTTACCCCAGGTGTAGTATAAGGGGTATGCACAACCATCCGCGGAAATAGAAACCTGCCAGACAGATCAGACAGCATTTGCCGCATTGGAATGGTTCCTGGCAGAGAAAGAGCGGCCAGGCTCGGAAGAGCGCGGACGCCCTAGTGAAATTGTCGCCCGTGGATGTGGCGGCGTGGTCTATGAAGTCGGAGGCCTACGCACGCAGCGGCGATCACAAGGAGTGGATTGGTGTTTGGAGTCCTGGGTTTTGGAGGTCACTTCTGGTCTTGAAAGGCTTGTTAATTACAATGCTAGTAGTGATCCTTGCCTGGATGGGATCAATAACCTTTTTGATTAAGTCCCATCAATACGTTTTTCGCAAGGATGTTAAACAGCTTACGCAGTTCATTCCTTTCGTCCACAGGAGGCGCTGACTGGCTACGAGCGCATGGCACAGCTGCTGGAGCAAGACACATCGCTACAGGAGCGGGCCGACAGGAGTTTGCACTACAGAGAATGCAAAGGTTGGAAATCGATTGTCAGACCGGTGCTTTCGGCAAGGGAACGACCGCTTTTTTGCGAGCTTTCCATCTCCAGCCGCAAGACGAGCTAACAGGGTTTGGATATTGGAAGCACTCTTGTCCTCTAGCATCCCCCCGATCTTCCCTACTCAAAACGTGTATCATCTAGGATATAGCCATAGCTTCCTAGCCACAATGGACCAAAGCCAGAAGTGACGAGCTCACACGTCCCTGGGTTTCCTTTTAATGTCATTTGGTCGGAGACTCCGTCCGCTTGCGGATAGAAGCCGATGTGTGGAACTTTGGTCCTTTCTAGACCTTGTGGCTTTGAGACCATGTGGTGGTGAGGTGAAATATTTTTTTTTGTTCGGGGAAGAGGCTGTTGTGCACTTGGGGCTATAAATAATAGATTCCTGGAAGCTGACTGGGCGTCGCTCAAGATTTGGCGAGAGCCTGCCGATTTCAAAGGGTCCATTGACAAGGCACTTTCATGGGTACTTGCTTTGCACCTTTGGAACCCATCTGAGCTGCCAGAACGCCTTGGTTGTCCACATGCGGGATGATGAACATCAGCCTCTCAATCTTTCAATTGTCATGTTCAGCCAAGACCACATCCTTTACCTCGTGGTTGGCAGGACAATTGTTTGAGCATTTTGGCATGTGTCGCGAGGCCAGCGTGACGCCACAGATGTGGAACAACCTGGGCACCAACCTGGCCCTGTATGGCCACTTGCCAGCCTTGACGGGGGGATCAGGTGCCACGATCGCGATCAGATGCCGGCACATTGCTTTTAGATTTGATATGTGCCGGCAAGAAGTTCAGAAGTACCCCATTTTGCCACTTCTGATATGCTTCGCCGTATGGTGCGCTCCTGCCGAGGTGACCCAGGGCAGGCGCGCTGGGCCTTCGAGTGTGGCACGCAGCAGTTGGAGGAGCGATTGGCGCGGGTCAGCAACCGCCAGGAGGAGAAGGACCGACCCGCGGAACCTGTACTGCGGCTCAAGAAAGAATGTGTGTACTGGTCAGAAAATGGTGTCTTGAACTTGGCGTCCATGATCCCTGCTTACAGCTTGATGTCATTTCACCCGGTGCTTTGGTTTATTCTGAAGCTGATTGTTTGATCGGTGATTGCTCATGGACAAAAACCTTCTCCCCCCAAACGCATCATAGAACAATCAGCAGAGCCAACATGTTTACAAACAGTGACCATGTAGTAGATGGAGCTGCCATTCCTTTGAGTTTGATTCTGAAGGATCAGCTAAGATTCACAGTCACCAAACTGGATCATCGCCATTGTGACAGACCCCAGGGAAGCTAATCATGCGCATGTGTCCTGGAACCCCTTAATTGGAACCCGTTGGGGTCACTCAATACCATTGTGTAAGTGTGGGTGCATCAATACCGGGAATGGAGTTGCTAGTGACTGAGCTCCATTTAACTTTCCTTGGCGTGCCAGGACTTGCACGTGGTGCGGCTTACTTTGAAGTTCAATCGCGCCTGGCTGTCGGAGACGCACCCTGCGCAGCCGGACATCGCTGAGGCCATGTCTGAGTATTTGTCCCTGGCGGAGGACAGCCTTGATTGGGCCACGTTTGCCCCTGCATACTTTAGGCCTGCTCAGTATGTGCGCGTGAGGGTCAGCTTCGACGTCGGATGTTGTTCAGAATTTCTTCTGAAGATTCTAGATTATCAACGGGTTATCTTATAGTTGTTTTGTGCAGCAGCTGGCCAGAGGCTGAGATTTGCCCCATAGGGCCGTACTGCTGATATCTTGCGGCTGGCGATTAGCTTTGAGCTGGACAATGAGCAGAAGCTGGTAGAACTTTCAACAGTATTTCCAACCCAAAGCAGTCGTGGCGTGATAGAAAAAATGTTTCGGAAAGGAATTGGGTGAAAGACCGCGCTGGGAGAGCTTGCTTGCTTTGTTTGCCTACGCTTCAGGAGCACGAGTGGTTTGCTGACGCCTTTATGCGGCTGGGCAACCAGTGGCAGAATCTGGGCATGCTGCCACAGGCCCTGAACACCTTCAAGATGGCTGCCACGCATAGTCCCTTCCAGGCAAGAAATGCATTTCGTTCGCCTTAGTTCCGCCACTTGTGCCGTTTTTTGACATTCCCGGCAAGCAGTGAGGTCGCAGGCAGGACGGTATAGTACTTTGATGTTTTTTTTGTGGGATGGGCCGTTGCAACCTCAGTTTATCAACATCTTGCTGATTCGGTGGGCTTCATACTTTTGAGACCACATGTTCCCCCTCGTTTGCGTAGAGGCCAGAGCGGGCAAGCTTAGTCGTCGCAATAGCGAGAGGCTTTCGACGCGAGGTTCGGCTGATTCCGGGGAAGGTAGCTTGCGTTTGGGTTATTGGGTGCGTTTTGAATGTTCGGCCGAGAGCGCAGCATGTCTCATTTGTCAAAGCGCTTCTTTTTGAACAAGACGGGCCTGCCAAGAGGCATGGCATGCTGTCTGCCAGCGACAGGCCCGACTGCACTGCGCGGAATCCTTGCGGAAAGCAGGACTGACTCGAGTTTTGAGCGAGCCTTAGCGTCCCTGGGCAGATAATGGAAAAGCTGCTCTGCTCCGAAATCAATATAGTAGGGCGGTTGTACCCCAGTGAGAAGCGGGGGATTCTTTGTTGTAGCCATTGTAGGTCAAAGGAACACAAGACATTTTCTTCACAGGTGTACCTCTTTTTGTGAGCCGGGAGGGGTGATTGGCAACCTACTTGCCACGCTGCCTGTTTGGAGGCCTTTTCGCCACTACAACTTTGAGTGGCAGAGAAAGGCAACACAAAGAGATTGACCCTGGCATGTCATTCTATATTCTAGCCCGCCTTTTCAACGGGTCCAAACGAGGATATTCTGATCCCCCCCGCCAATTCCAATTGACGGAAGACTGAACACGTTGACCAAGAACCAAGCCGAAAAGTTGCCCCGACAATGCCTTGAGTGAAGCTGCTTCCAAAGTTTAGATGTGAGTTTTGCCGTTGCGTTCCTCTCCAAAGCTCAGTTGCTTCTGAAGATTCTAGACAGAACTCGTTGCCAATCGCCAATTGTGCGCCGCAAAAGATCTCAATGCCCTGCCGCAAGGCCCCGCACAGAAGTTGATCCAGAGTTTGCTCCCCAAAATACCTCAGTACCTTCCCCACCTTCCCAAAAAGAAGAGCGCCACTGTTGAGTGTGTGTAATTAACACTGTATATATTTGTATATACGTATATATATATAGTATGTATTAACCATACTACTACATATATATTTTAGATAGTATATGGTATTTCAGTTATATATATATATAGAGATTATACGCGGCGGACATGCCCAGCGGCCACACGCAGGAAAGTACCGCGAGGCCATCCGAGAAGCGGAGCATGCCTTGAAGCGCGCAGGCGAGAAGGAGGAGCCATCGATCGCAGTCAGGGCGGTTTCGCCTCACGGGCTGCGGTTTTTCCCGTGCGATTCATGGAGCCTTACCAGTCGATGTTCCACTTGGGAGACATGGGAGACTCAACAAAATTCGTACCAAAGCTCAGGGACTCACTAATTGCCCATGCTCTATATATACTCACTAGTTGCACTCGAGCCTGGGATAGGCTCAAGCTTAGATGAGAACCACCTAAGGTCCTAGCAAGGGCTTTCTAGCCACTGAATTGGACTAGCCACTGAATTGGAGTTTATTCTTGGGTTGGTAAGGCTTAGGTGCCGAAGCTTAAGTACAACTACGCGCCTTCATATTGACTTATTATTCGGAACATGTTTGAGTGACTTGAGGCGTGACGCACGCCCTTGTTAAGCACGGGCTGAAACTTGGCTTATTATCTCGGGCGTATTCCGCCTTATTTGTGGCACATGTTGGGTTTGTGTTTGGATTCCTCATAAAGCCAATGGCACTGGATAGGCAGTGCTCCGCACTTGCCAGACATGATACGGCCTGGAAGCCCTCGCACCCGACGTGCAGGAGCACTACGCGCGGGTCTTCCTGGGTAACTTGTTCTTCGAGGCTTCCGGCCAACACAAGCTCGCGAGCAAGGCCGGTTCCGTTAATTTCTGCCCCATTTTGGGGTATTTGTTTGAGGCTAGTTGCCTTTGCGGGTTTTGTTTGGAGGGAAATCAAGGGGCAAACTGCCCATTTTGTGGGTTCCGTTTAAGCGATCCGCAAGATTTGCAATTTCCCAACCATTCTTTTGAACAGCCCAGTAACGTGATTTTATGTTTCTCCGATAATTTCAGATGCAAATGGAAGTTGCGCGTTGGGCTGGGCATCAAGGGACAAAAATCGGGATTGTTCACCTGGCCTTGTTTGACCGGGATACCATGGGAGCTTGAGTCTTTCCAAATCAACGGTTTTCCAGCTTTGCTACCTTGGCAGGCTTTTGGGGTAGAATGGAATCCACTTCCATTGGTTTGGTGACCATTTGGCTAGCCATCTGTCCCCGCCCCCCCCCCCCCCCCACTCGCTTGATTGTCAGCAAAACAATGCCCACCCCCAACTGAACATTGATGCACCCTGGGGCTGGGCCAAGGGCATGCTTCCTTTTTCCTACAGTTTCGTTCAGGACAATTACCTGAAGAAGGCCATGGAATGCTTCGTGAAGGCTGTGGAGAAGAAGAAGGACGGGCCCAAAGCTTGAGCTTCTCTGTTCCCTTCGAAGTCGTGCCACGTGCTTGGCCGATTCCCAACGAGGCCATGTTGAAAAAGTGATGACAAGAGATAGTCAAGAGATGCCCGTACCAAGTTTCTGATTCCCTAGCTGACTTCATTTTCTGTGGCAGATGACCAGCTCAGTCGCAATTCCGCTGTGGTGTCCTTAATTGTGTCGTGGGGGGTGGGGATCTTATGAGCCATGGCTCACGTAGGGTCTTGGTAAAGAACAATCACATGACGAGCGATCAGACACATCAGGCAACCGCAGCCGCGAAGTAGTTTTTGTCCTGTCCGCGCATTCAGAACCTTGGTTGAAACCCAACCTGCTTGTTTGCAAGGGAAGTCGTGTTGATCCCGGTTTCCACCCATCTCTGGTTTGCTAGAACATACTACGCCTACCTTCGAACCTAATTTGTATACACCCACACACACTGAACTGGTCGTGAATTTCTCAAGCAAGTTGACCTAAAGAGGCTGAACCATGTTCAAGGACACCACTAGGGGATGGGAAATCACTCATGTATGGTCATTATTATGTCGAAGGAAGCCGCTGCGGGATGGATTGTTGGTGATTTTGCCCGCGTTATTGTTGTTTTTGCGCAGAAAGGCCACTGGGATGGGTTTTACTCATTCCTTCCTTCCGTCCATTCGGTTGTTTTTTTGTTCTTGTTTTGATTGCTTATTGTTTTGCCTGTTTGTTTGCTTATCTAGAATTAGTCATTTATTTGTATGTGTCTTGTTTGTCCAGCAGCACACACACACAGACAGGCCCATGCCGTTCGACGTGCGCCGCAGGACTGCTACTTCGCGGCGAACGGCATCGGCATGGTCTTCGCGCGGCGGGGGAAGCTGGACCTCGCGAAGCAGACCTTCCAGTCGGTGGTGCAGCACCAGGCGGATCCGAAGCGATTCCCTTCGACCTGTCAGGTTCCATGGAACCGTCAGATGTTTTTTCATTGTTTTCCGGACCCCTGGTTAGCCTCCCCTTCAACGACTTTAGAGGGAAGCCAAAAGGAGGTTGTGGAAAGTTGGGGGGGGAACATGTGCTTTAGAGTTGAGTGAAAGAGGATGGCACGGATCCATGATCCTCACTTATCAACAGAAAGGGAATTGTGCCATCTACTTTCATCTGGTTTAGGTGGCCACTTTCTGTGATACGAAGGAATATCCTTTTACAAGTATCAAACTAGGGGTGTCGAACTTTGGTATCGCAGGCATGATTACTTTCCACAACCATGGTGTTGCCCCAAAAGGCAATACCACAGAATGGACCTGTGAGCAGGGTGATCAGGGTCCATGCCTGTCTTGAATGGAACCCCCACATGTGGCAACGACATTTTTGTGATTCCCTTCAAACCGATGAAATCGGGTCACCAATTTTGGGACACCCCGCAAAGCCGCGTAGAGCAGCACGTGAACTGAACATATCACGGGCTCATGAGGCGGATGGATGTCGCACGGCTGGTGACCCCGATCTGCAAAGTGGCTAAGTCGCGTCCCTTCAAGGAACCTCAATGTTTGTGTTTTGTTGTTTGTGTGGGCATCACAATTGCCACTTGCCTCTCGCAAAGCTGTTTCATTGGGTTCTTGAGGGATTACCACCGCGGCACAGGGTCAGAATTTTGACACATTCCCAAACCTTGTTTGTGGGAAACCTTGGACCCACTGAGTCAAGATGTTGCTTAAAGAGTTGTACATATTGTAGATCTTTTGCAAAACACAGATCACGAATCTCCTTTGTTTCCTGGGTGCCAAATGCATCCAGGTGGAACAAATGCCATTCGGGGCCACCAAGGTATGGCTTATGATGCGCGCTTTGACAATTAGAGCCCCCTCTCGGATCTCAAAAGGCGGGTGAACACGCAACAAAGCCCTCATTTTGACCTGCCATATATTGTGTACCGTGTTTCATGACTCGGTGATGCAGGATGCTTTGAGCAACACAAGGGTTCGGTTGCGTTCCACTTGGGCAAAGAAGTACCGCAATCTTGCGGAACGCAAGCCAAAACGTTGGTGTTGGCACAGCAAGGGTCATTCTATACTTGGGAACCGATAGCATCACAGGACGGCGCTGGTCCCAGTTGAGACTTGCTCCGAAGGGCATGAAAGACAATGCCTCGGTGTACATCAATCTGGCCCACACCTTCATGGGTACGCACAACAATGACACAGCGGCCGTCAGGCGGGGTCAAAAGTCAAGTTAGTGCGGAAATCAGGGCCAGGCAATACCAAGGCAGCCGGACAAGGCGGGCGGAGGTTGCTTTATATCAAAGAAGTCGATGTCTCAATAGTGTGGAATTCGATGAAAAGGGCCGGTTCGACTTGTTCCCTTGCGTGAAGGAACCTCATAGATTCTCAATTGCGGGGGCGTATCCCTGAGCTGATGTCAAGGAAAGCCATATCCCTCTACCAGATAGCGAAGGATATTGAGCCGGAGGATGTCTCTGTGACGTGGTGCAGCAGAGAGAGTGTGTGTGTGTGGTTGGTTGGTTGGTTGGTTGGTTGGTTGGTTGGTTGGTTGGTTGGTTGGTTGGTTGGTTGGTTGGTTGGTTGGTTGGTTGGTTGGTTGGTTGGTTGGTTGGTTGGTTGGTTGGTTGGTTGGTTGGTTGGTTGGTTGGTTGGTTGGTTGGTTGGTTGGTTGGTTGGTTGGTTGGTTGGTTGGTTGGTTGGTTGGTTGGTTGGTTGGTTGGTTGGTTGGTTGTGTGTGTGTGTGTTTGTGTGGTTGGTTGTGTGTGTGTTTGTGTGGTTGGTTGTGTGCGTGTTTGTGTGTTTGTGTGTTTGTGTGTTTGTGTGTTTGTGTGTTTGTGTGTTTGTGTGTTTGTGTGTTTGTGTGTTTGTGTGTTTGTGTGTTTGTGTGTTTGTGTGTTTGTGTGTTTGTGTGTTTGTGTGTGTGTTTGTGTGTTTGTGTGTTTGTGTGTTTGTGTGTTTGTGTGTTTGTGTGTTTGTGTGTTTGTGTGTTTGTGTGTTTGTGTGTGTGTTTGTGTGTTTGTGTGTTTGTGTGTTTGTGTGTTTGTGTGTTTGTGTGTTTGTGTGTTTGTGTGTTTGTGTGTTTGTGTGTTTGTGTGTTTGTGTGTTTGTGTGTTTGTGTGTTTGTGTGTGTGTGTGTGTGTTGTGTGTTTGTGTGTTTGTGTGTTTGTGTGTTTGTGTGTTTGTGTGTTTGTGTGTTTGTGTGTTTGTGTGTTTGTGTGTTTGTGTGTTTGTGTGTTTGTGTGTTTGTGTGTTTGTGTGTTTGTGTGTTTGTGTGTTTGTGTGTTTGTGTGTTTGTGTGTTTGTGTGTTTGTGTGTTTGTGTGTTTGTGTGTTTGTGTGTTTGTGTGTTTGTGTGTGTGTGTGTGTGTTTTTGGACTTAAAGGGAAGCCAAGCGAAAAACCATATTATATATTGTGGCTTGCCTCATTTGTCTCGACACGGGGCAAAGGACTGGTTTGGACTGGTTTGGATGGCTTTGAGCAGCGAGCTTCCCATTCCGTCGAGTGAATAAGCCCGTTTCTAGTGCGCCTGCGTGGACTGCTCGCTTTTGGCTCAGCTCTGCCCTTTTGGTGGCATGATAGGATTTTTTCCTTCATTGGATTTGGCAACGCAGGTCGGTCTTTGATTTCTTGACGTACTTGATTTTGTTGTCGTTGCCTTACCTGCTTGTTTGGCTCGAACTGCGTTGCTTCGCCGAGCGTCAACGCCGTGGGTTGCCTGGCTAGCTTTCACCATTGATTGAGCTTTACATCAGCCGATGAAGGCAAGTGCAGTTCCAAGTCCCTTGCCCAATGGTTGCACTGCTATTGCAGGACTTACTACTTAGAAGACCCCCCAACACTTGGGCGGTTTCCCCTATGCTATGGCTGTGGTCTACTTGCTTCTCACACAGCTAGGTTTTCACCAGTCATGCACTAATTCACCATGGCAGCTGCTTTCATGGGTTTGCGACAAAATCAGTGGTCCGCTTTCTTCCGGTGTTCTCCGAGCCTCACCAGGAATTTATGCCCAACTTATGCCGGAAGTTTTTGGAACAGCCCTGTCCGCAAATTGTCCCCCGGAGTTTTTCTAGTTTTCAGACAGAAACCAACGGCGCCATGATCCATTCGGGCTTCCGGGATGGTTGACTAGTCCTCCCGTCAAATTAATTACATCTATATTAGGGAGTCTACTGGTTTTGAGACCCCCCCCCGACTTCCTGGCTGTTTGGGGGAGGCATGGAGCCAGCATATGTCCTACCACCAAGATCGCTGGTCCCTTCAAAAGCCTCGGCTGAGGTCACTTTGTACATCGCCAAGGCCTACCACGTCTTGGAGGAGTACGACGACTGCGGGGCCATCCTCTCGGAGGCGGCGGCCTTTTGGCCCTTCAACCTGGTGGTAAAGCTCAACCAGGTGCGGGGCTTGGGGCGCCCGGGGGTGGCACCGTTGGGCACAAAAGACATGGATGTCAAAAGGCAAGGAAAGGAAACAGGGATCCTTCCGAAGGGGGCAATCAAGAAGCAATTTACCCTTTGAAGGTCAGCAAACCACCACACGCCCATTCCGATTTATATACAGCTTTTTTTCTGGTAGTTTCTCCCTGTCGCATGTAGGGAGTCCACCGCCCCCGCTGTTGCTCTCTAACTTTTTCCTTGACTGTCCCAGGAGTGGGCCAAACTGGTGCAACCGTGCCGGGCTATTCACAAATTTGTTTGAACAACTCAGCCGCCCACAAACGAATTGCTGACTGCTGGGCTGAGATGTGTCCGGCTTAGCCACGTTGCCGTCCAAGGCCCTCAACTGGGAGGTCTGGGCACGGCACGACCTGTCACAAGACTGGCAGCAGAGCGGCATCAGCCTGCAGGAAAGCCTCCAACGGGTCAAAGATCCTCGGCCGTTCGATTCGTTCGCTCGGGGAGGGTGATTGGTCGATTATGTTTTTTTTTTGCATGTGACTTTACCTGGCTGGTTTGAATTAGCGACCAGCATGCCAAGTTTGCGAGTTTACCCTTCAGGAATATATCAGCCCATCGTGTTTATCGTTTGTTGTGAACAATATTATTTAGTTGTTTTGGAAAACAAACTAATGGGATCAGCGAAGCACACATTCGAGTTGAGACTCATCATCGGTTGTGCTCGTCCCGGTCGCCATGTTGGCAAGAATATGTGTGTTCCTTCCCCGCCATTGAATGGAACCCTCCAAAGGGTGGCTTTCCCTCCGGTTTCCCTTTAAAGCCAGCATAAAGAAGGTACCCAAGGTACCCTCAAAAAGAAGACAGCCCCAGAACATGCCCTGGGCCAACGCGGCCTCCAGGCTCCGGGCTCCCGTTTCGCTGATGTTCGCTTTTTGCTGAGGCAGCCCGGGACCACTTGGCCATGGCGGCGCACGCCTGGGCCTTCATCACCAGCGAGTGGATCGGCATGTCCGACAAGGAGAGGTCCTTTGGAGACGATGGACGGGGCTCCCTATGCTCCCGGTTTGGGCTGGTTGAAGCATTTCCTTCTGGGCCGAATTAGAAGTGTTTCACCTTTTTTGTGGGTGACGTTTCAAGAAAAAGACTGGCTAAAAAGGTGATTCTGGATGGTTGGTCCTGCCGTTCTCTTGTCCTAGGAAGCAAAGAATCACCCTGCAAGGAGCGGCATGCCTTGGGCCGGGCCTCTGGCAATTCGAAGGAGCTCCTAGACGTCATGCGCGCCTGGGACCATTGGAACCTGATGAAAGGGGGTCCATGTTCGGGGTGAGCTGAAGGGGAGACCAACCTTTTTTGGTTTTCTTTGGTCATGCGTTCACATTTGTGTGTGTGTTTCCCCAACAGCGCCGGCTATGGGGTCTTTGCCAGTCCGGGTCGCAAGGGTTCCGGGTACGTTGAGAATGACATTTGTTTGAGGTTGTTGGGGATAGTTATGGCATTCCTTGGGCTTTCTGGATTGTAGACAAAGGCCCAGGGCGTGTGTGCTTTTTCCTGGTCAAGCGCTTGAATGTGTCAGCTGACTCAGCTCGGGACCCAGCCAACTGGCTGTAATGACACCGGCATGTTTCAGATTGTATTAGGTTGTATGTTGAGTGGATCCTTCATGTGCTTTATTTAGCTGTATTTGCTGGGATTGTAGAGTGCTTCCTCCTTTTGCTTTGCAGAGGACTGACCCTAAGCTCGGCAAGGTGTTCCCACCAGCACAGCCATGCGGAGGGGACCATAGCGAGTTTCACAGGGCTCTGCACTGCTGGCAATGGAGAGATGGCTATGAATTTGATTGAGGAATCTCCTCAAAAGTTGGCCGGACATAAATCATGTTCACCAAAGGGGGGCCGACTTAAATTCATGCTTTCGTAGGCTAGGTTTGTTGTAGCTTGAAGGGCTCACGTTGCAAATTGGTTGATGATGTGATTCACGGCGCAGTGAATTACATAGGTCTCAGTCTTAGAGTTCGGTGTGCCGTTTGGGTGTTGGTGTGAGATGCGACTTTGGGTTTGGTTTGGGGCTTGGGCTTCGATTGCTGTCGAGTTTCGAGTTCGGTTGAGAGCGCTCTGTGCGGTCCACTTAGGGCGCTTTAGGTATTACTTCAAGGTGTTGTGCGGGATCGTGAGTACGAAATGATTTAATGTTTGGTTTGGGATTTGGTTCACTGAGAGTTCGGCCAAGGTTTCGCTTGGTCATTGGTCGTCCTGTTTGAGAGTATGGACTGATGTTTGAGTCCAGGATTGGGGTTTGCGTACGCATCATGATCTTGTTGGCGGATGCTAGCGGCTTTGTTAAGACCTTTGATCACTTTGATCTGAAGATCTGACTTTTGGCGAACGTTGGCCCCGGATTGATCAAGCTGTTGGTGCAGCGTTGGGTGGATATTTCCGCAAAAAAATAAAGACTCCCCTCTCCCCACAATAGTAACCTAGAGATGCTCAACCAGTGCTTTCTTAAAATGCCGGGTTCCCATTGGACAGGACGTACTTCCGTAGCCCGCCACTTGTAACATCGTTTGGCTCTCTTCCCAGCCCTGCTTGCTCGGCCCCGGCCATTCACCGCCACTTTTGTTTTGGGTGAGTTCTGCCCCCAAACCATCCTCCAAAAGGTAGATTCCTTGCATAATCCCCAGCCATTCCGGCCATGTGGCCAGCGCTGAACTAGGGAGGACTGGGTTGTCCGTGTTTTTGCAGCTTAGAGGCTTTCTAGCAGATGCCTTTCCAGAAGGCAAGCGCACAGGTGCCTTGCGTCATGAGCCGCCAGCACGGTGGCCTTGGAAGTTGCATTCTTCTCATTCAACGTTGGACCTGTCTCCGTATTTCCCAAACAGTCTGCATTGCCATACTTTTAGTTCTGGATTCTCTTGTGATGATTGTCTTTCTCTTCCAGAATTCAGAATTGCCCCGGGCAATCCCTCACAACTTGTAGCTGGGGTAGGTAAAGCCACTCCTTCTGCCGAGGAGACTCAGAAAGCCGGGTGTCGTACTGCGAAGAGCTCATGGGTCGGGCCGGCAATGCTCTGACTGACCTGGCGCATCAGCTGCGGGTGGACGACCTGCAAATGGAGAAGATCGCCAAGGAGAAGGAGGAGGCAAGCGGTGAGCCGGCTGTTGTCACATTTTTCTGGGTGCAAAGTTGCCAATGTTTTGGTTTTCCCAAATGGAAACCAAGGGAGGATGGCAAGTTGTGTTTGTTGTTGTTTTTTTCCCAGACTCCGTATTTAAGACCCCCCGAGGTGTGACATGAAGTCATGGCTTGGGGGTCGCCCCTTTTTGGCGACCCTGGATAGGATCCCATCCGCTGCTAGTTCTTTTGGGGGACAAACCCAGTTATGACACTCTGGCGGGCGTCAGCTTCCTGCCAAATGGCTGGTCATGTTAGCCTTGCATCATGTTGTCCACCGCATTCAGTTTGAGCATTACCAAACCCTTCGAATGAAATGAAGTCTAAATGCATTGAAAGCAAGTGCTGGTGTCCAAGATCTCAACTATCATGGATGGCTAGTTCTCTGTTTGTCTCCTGTAGCCTGCCAATAAATGGCTGGCTGTTTAAATTCTAACACCATAGTCGCCATTATGGTAAGTCCGTGCGCGTCGAGGTGAAGCTCGACCATGAGCGCAGAACACACCAGGACTCGGCTCAGTGGAAACTCATCTGAATGCGGCCCTGAAAGTGGAAATGCAGGGACCCTTGTTTGGTTTGGCTTTTATTGACAACTCCTTAAACGGTATGTACGTGCCCCTATAATGATAGCCCCTAGTCTGGTAGCTTAGCCACTTCTGGTTCACTAGGTTCAAAATGTTCAGTAGGAAAGGGTCCTGATACAGTACGAATGTTTTTGGTTTAAAGTTGGCCATCCTCGATTTTTAAATAAGTTGGTGCCCATTGAGCAACAGGACATGAATCCCACAGCTTGCCCGGGCATGTAACAGCCAGACTGTGGGTCAAAGGCTTGTGTAGGCCCCTTGGTGACTGGTTTTCCGTTCATGGACCCTTCAGCCTGAACTTTGGGTCCCTACCGCCAAGCTTGGCGGTCCTTGACACATGCTGCCATTTCTGACCAGCTGATCCTGCCCCAAGGCTCTCGGATCCCAATGAAGCCTCAAAATGAGCGAGCTGTGCGTCCTATGTCCACAAAACAAGTTGCCCTAGCGGGAAAAGAGATGTACATAGTGAATCCACAGCATCGCATGCAGCATACACAGACATATATAATATGTAGTATAATATGTCGGCGTTCTATCTTGAAGGGTTGCCTAGCTTATGCACGGCGTGCTGTTTTGACACCGGCAAGTCGCCGGCACATCCTTAACACCAAGATCTGAGATCACGATTAGTTGCAAATTATTCTACTTATGCATAAAAATGATTGCATTATCCTATAGTTCACAAATTTCACACATCCTTGTTAAACTTCTAATTTGAACGAGACAATCTATTCAAGGCTAGGTTGTTTTGCCTCGTCAACCTCCATGCATTAAGTGTCAATTGACCTCAACTTTGGAAAGGAATGCCTTTCTCAATTCTAATTTGAAACAGACATGCTAATCAATTGTACAAGCATTTCATTTCCTTATTTAGTTCTACTTGGATTCTCGGTACATTTCAAGTGGTCCCCATATTTCGGAAGGAACTCCTATCCCCAATAGCAACACTTCTTATACCAATTGTGTAGCAGATATTTGTCATCGTATGTTTGTGGTTTAGCCATCTTCAATTTGCAAGCGCACTCGAAGTTAGCAAGCTGTTTCCCCGTATCATATGGATCCAGGGTGCCAGTTGATCCATGGATTGTGACGGCAACCAGTTCGAACAGATGGGGAGGGGCACGAAGCCCACACATGGTACAATTGGCAACAATATAGCAAAATTGACAAACAGGGGATCAACAATGGTAGTACACATGATGATAGCAGTGATCATCGTAGTGATGATAGTTCCGATAGTTGCAATGATGATCACAACAATAATATAGTATGGAGAATACTCGTGATATGAATAGCCACGATAGCGACAATGACAATGACACCTTTTGAAATACCCAATGGCGAGAGCAATATTAAAGAAGAAGGATGATGTCAATGAGAATCGTAAACACACTATGCAGTACGGGTGGTGGGAATGCAAGCCGGAAGGCCATGTCTCTCCACCCAGCTCAGCCCAACGAGCTGTTGCTCGCGCAAGAAGTCAACACAATAGGAATTTATCATAATTTATCCCTTGGCACCCTCCCGACTCTTGTATAACAACTCATAACTGGTCCGTCCCCCTCAACCAAGTCCCAAAGAAGGACCGTGATGTCCCAGCACAAACCGACAAAGCAAAAGGTGACCTCAAGATGCTCAGCTGCAACTGCATTGATTGAGGTAGCAGACACCAAGAACATAAGACACATGTACCGTGCAATGCCCCGCACCGATTATATCCCCAGCTGGAACGCTTAATGGTGCAGATATGTGTTTACATAAGCATACACATGTCTATATATATATATACATGTATATTTTGTGTAATATGTACACGTATAATATGTTATACAATATGTATGCATGTATGTAATGTATGTATGTATGTAATGTAATGTAATGTAATGTAATGTAATGTAATGTAATGTAATGTAATGTATGTGTGTATGTATGTATGTATGTATGTATGTATGTATGTATGTATGTATGTATGTATGTATGTATGTATGTATGTATGTATGTATGTATGTATGTATGTATGTATGTATGTATGTATGTATGTATGTATGTATGTAATGTATGTATGTATGTATGTATGTATGTATGTATGTATGTATGTATGTATGTATGTATGTATGTATGTATGTATGTATGTATGTATGTATGTATGTATGTATGTATGTATGTATGTATGTATGTATGTATGTATGTATGTATGTATGTATGTATGTATGTATGTATGTATGTATGTATGTATGTATGTATGTATGTATGTATGTATGTATGTATGTATGTATGTATGTATGTATGTATGTATGTATGTATGTATGTATGTATGTATGTATGTATGTATGTATGTATGTATGTATGTATGTAATGTATGTATGTATGTATGTAATGTATGTATGTATGTATGTATGTATGTATGTATGTATGTATGTATGTATGTATGTATGTATGTATGTATGTATGTATGTATGTATGTATGTATGTATGTATGTATGTATGTATGTATGTATGTATGTATGTATGTATGTATGTATGTATGTATGTATGTATGTATGTATGTATGTATGTATGTATGTATGTATGTATGTATGTATGTATGTATGTATGTATGTATGTATGTATGTATGTATGTATGTATGTAATGTATGTATGTATGTATGTATGTATGTATGTATGTATGTATGTATGTATGTATGTATGTATGTATGTATGTATGTATGTATGTATGTATGTATGTATGTATGTATGTATGTATGTATGTATGTATGTATGTATGTATGTATGTATGTATGTATGTATGTATGTATGTATGTATGTATGTATGTATGTATGTATGTAATGTAATGTAATGTAATGTAATGTAATGTAGTGTATGTATGTATGTCATATATGTACCAGTCCCTGGGCCACGTACCCCCCCCCCCCCCCCCAATGGTATGGTCCCCCCACTCCCCCGCATCATCCGCATCTTGGGGATGATGCTGGCAATGCTGGGGATGCTGTCCAGTACCGTGCGAGCCCTGCAGCTTCGGTCCCAGACCCCCTTTCACCCCGTGAACCAACACCCCCGCACCTCTCGCAACATCCTACCCTAAACCAAACCACCCTGCAACCCCTCCTTAACCCCAACCCTAAGCCTAAATCAACCCAAAACCCAAACCCACCCGAAACCCACCGCAAACCAACCCTGAACCAACCCTGAACCAACCCTAAACCAACCCACCAAGCCTAAACCAACTCCGAACCACACCCCAACCACCCAACCACCCAACCACCCAACCACCCAACCACCCAACCACCCAACCACCCAACCACCCCCACCCCACCACCCAACCACCCCACCACCCCACCACCCCACCACCCCACCACCCCACCACCCCACCACCCCACCACCCACCCCACCCCCACAGGGGGGGGGGGGTTGGCCCAACCACCCAACCACCCAACCACCACCCCACCACCCCACCACCCCACACCACCCCACCACCCCCCACCCCACCCCCACAGGGGGGGGGGGGTTGGGGAGGGGAGGGGGGGGTCCACGGCCTGGAACATATATGTATGTATGTATGTATGTATGTATGTATGTATGTATGTATGTAATGTATGTATGTATGTATGTAATGTATGTATGTATTATGTTGTATGTATGTATGTATGTATGTATGTATGTATGTATGTATGTATGTATGTATATGTATGTATGTATGTATGTATGTATGTATGTATGTATGTATGTATGTATGTATGTATGTATGTATGTATGTATGTATGTATGTATGTATGTATGTATGTATGTATGTATGTATGTATGTATGTATGTATGTATGTAATGTATGTAATGTAATGTATGTATGTAATGTATGTATGTATGTATGTATGTATGTATGTATGTATGTATGTATGTATGTATGTATGTAATGTATGTATGTATGTATGTATGTAATGTAATGTAATGTAATGTAATGTAATGTAATGTAATGTAATGTAATGTAATGTAATGTAATGTAATGTAATGTAATGTAATGTATGTAATGTAATGTAATGTAATGTAATGTAATGTAATGTAATGTAATGTAATGTAATGTAATGTAATAATGTAATGTAATGTAATGTAATGTAATGTAATGTAATGTAATGTAATGTAATGTAATGTAATGTAATGTAATGTAATGTAATGTAATGTAATGTATGTATGTATGTATGTATGTATGTATGTATGTATGTATGTATGTATGTATGTATGTATGTATGTATGTATGTATGTATGTATGTAATGTAATGTAATGTAATGTAATGTAATGTAATGTAATGTAATGTAATGTAATGTATGTATGTATGTATGTATGTATGTATGTATGTATGTATGTATGTATGTATGTATGTATGTATGTATGTATGTATGTATGTATGTATGTATGTATGTATGTATGTATGTATGTATGTATGTATGTATGTATGTATGTATGTATGTATGTATGTATGTATGTATGTATGTATGTATGTATGTATGTATGTATGTATGTATGTATGTATGTATGTATGTATGTATGTATGTATGTGTATGTAATGTATGTATGTATGTATGTATGTATGTATGTATGTATGTATGTATGTATGTATGTATGTATGTATGTATGTATGTATGTATGTATGTATGTATGTATGTATGTATGTATGTATGTATGTATGTATGTATGTATGTATGTATGTATGTATGTAATGTATGTATGTATGTATGTATGTATGTATGTATGTATGTATGTATGTATGTATGTATGTATGTATGTATGTATGTATGTATGTATGTATGTATGTATGTATGTATGTATGTATGTATGTATGTATGTATGTATGTATGTATGTATGTATGTATGTATGTATGTATGTATGTATGTATGTATGTATGTATGTATGTATGTATGTATGTATGTATGTATGTATGTATGTATGTATGTATGTATGTAATGTATGTATGTATGTATGTATGTATGTATGTATGTATGTATGTATGTATGTATGTATGTATGTATGTATGTATGTATGTATGTATGTATGTATGTATGTATGTATGTATGTATGTATGTATGTATGTATGTATGTATGTATGTATGTATGTATGTATGTATGTATGTATGTATGTATGTATGTATGTATGTATGTATGTATGTATGTATGTATGTATGTATGTATGTATGTATGTATGTATGTATGTATGTATGTATGTATGTATGTATGTATGTATGTATGTATGTATGTATGTATGTATGTATGTATGTATGTATGTATGTAATGTATGTAATGTATGTAATGTATGTATGTATGTATGTATGTATGTATGTATGTATGTATGTATGTATGTAATGTAATGTAATGTAATGTAATGTAATGTAATGTATATGTATGTAATGTATGTATGTATGTATGTATGTATGTATGTATGTATGTATGTATGTATGTATGTATGTATGTATGTATGTATGTATGTATGTATGTATGTATGTATGTATGGTATGTATGGTATGTATGTATGTATGTATGTATGTATGTATGTATGTATGTATGTATGTATGTATGTATGTATGTATGTATGTATGTATGTATGTATGTATGTATGTATGTATGTATGTATGTATGTATGTATGTATGTATGTATGTATGTATGTATGTATGTATGTATGTATGTATGTATGTATGTATGTATGTATGTATGTATGTATGTATGTATGTATGTATGTATGTATGTATGTATGTATGTATGTATGTATGTATGTATGTATGTATGTATGTATGTATGTATGTATGTAATGTATGTATGTATGTATGTATGTATGTATGTATGTATGTATGTATGTATGTATGTATGTATGTAATGTAATGTAATGTAATGTAATGTAATGTAATGTAATGATGATGTATGTATGTATGTATGTATGTATGTATGTATGTATGTATGTATGTATGTATGTATGTATGTATGTATGTATGTATGTATGTATGTATGTATGTATGTAAATGTATGTCTGTAATGTATGTATGTATGTATGTAATGTAATGTAATGTAATGTAATGTAATGTAATGTAATGTAATGTAATGTAATGTATGTATGTATGTATGTTATGTTATGTTATGTTATGTTATGTTATGTTATGTTATGTAATGTATGTATGTTTGTATGCATTTATACATATATACAGGTGTGTGCTGTTCAAGCTGCTGCATGTGAATGCCAGAAGGAATGGCATCATGTTGGCAACGCCAGAATTGAGTACATTTGCGCAGGTTCCCCTTTTGAGGCAATGCAAGCTGCTTTCGTTGATTTGCAGGACTCGGAGACGGAGAAAGAGAGGAAATTGGAAGCCGAAGACCAGGCAATGCGGCTCATGGTGCCTTGGCTTGCTAATGTTGGTGGAGACCAAGAAGTACAGGAAGAAGTAGACTCTCAAGAGAACAATATATGCGCTTCCTCCTGGGGTGTTGTGCCCCAACCATATATACATATATATGTATATATGTATATACATATGTACACCCGTTAGACAGGGGTACCAACCTATACGTGGGACATAAAGGGCTGACCGTGGTTCGAAGCAAGTTGTTGCACCTTTGCACGGTCATCTTTGCGTCCAGGCTGCAAAAGGTTTACCACTCTTTCCAGGTTTTCTTGAAAAGTAATCCCCGCATGGCTTCTGCGCTGCTCGCTGGTATAGGAGTACGGAGGAAGGCCACGAATCTCCGCGTTGTGGCAAAGTCACGCTGACGTATGTCACCCTTTACTGGCTTCATCCATTTTCACGTCTCGTGCTGGGACTATAGTTGTGTTTGCTAAATCCTGTTTCATTCGAGACTCATGTGGCATGCTTGTTTTACAGATGGGTTACTTGGAAAACTGACTTGGAATAGATGAAGAGTTGTGGATCTGCAGTCACGGTGGACGTCATGCTTACTCGTGCTTCTCAGTTTGCCCAGCGTGCTGCTTAGAATCAAGGAGACAGTCATGGGATTTGTTTCCTTGAGTGCCATGATGTGGGCCCGTGGTCGGCTGTGCCATGCTTGAAGATTCGTGCTATTCACAGCATCGGCGGTGCTCTGCCATTATGTTTGACGAAACGCTGCAAGTCACCTACACATAATTTGTGCATGTTGGCGTAGGCTTCGATTGGTCTTGCTTGTGTAGGGTTCTTATTTGACTAAAGAATGCTTGGCAGTTTGCTCTTTCTTGTTTGCCCTGCCATGATATTTGCCCTGCTCAAGGATCGCGCCTTCTAGCGGTTTGAGTTAGCTTCGCAGTTTTGAACTTTTCAGAACCCCTCAACCTACTTGACCATATCTGTGGCTACGTCGCATCAGAAGACTTCACAAGTTCTATGCCACTACAACTTGCCAGGAGTGAGGCCACGTGAAGAAAGTTCTTGCCTTTGTCAACCTCATCTCGCCTCAAGGAGGGTCCAAGCTCTTCCCACCCCTTGCTAATTAATTGCTTCAGGAAGTGGGCAGACAGATCGACCTGGGCCGAAACCTGGAGCTCTTCAAAGAAAAGACGCCCGCTGCCAAAAACAGCGCGCGCAAGAAGAAGAAGGGCGAGGAGCCGGGGTGTCGGGTCTGGTCTTTGAGGGAAAGCCAAAGGAAACCACCATTTCTGGGGTCTAGTTTTGATATGTTTTGATTGTGTGTATACTCATGATACAACGTGCATCAATAAATGCACACGTGGTTTGCATGTGCACATCGTAAACGTGTGCTTGTTTTGTTCCAGCCTGCGTTCAAGTTGCTTGGCATGTTCTTGTTCAGTATTTGTGCATGTTGGCCCTGATGGCCGGAGCAGCTGTTAGGCCCTGCACCATTGCTTTAAAAGCCGTGTGTTTGTGTCATGCAGACTCGCTAAAGCAAGCATTAAATTTAATTGGGTCATCCCTTTGTGCAGTGGGTGGGCTGGCATGGACTTGGAGCTGCATGTGGCTCTTTAGATCATTGCCTGTTGTAATTCGGAGAGGATCCGGAGTTGTGAGTTCTGGGTTGCCGCGTGTGTGTGTGTGTGTGGACTCTTTGGCGGCTTCGTGTTGCCCGGCTTCGTTTAGCCTGGGGCCTGCGTTCAGGAGAAGCAAGAAGGTGAGGAGAAGGAGCAGGAGCCCAAGGAGGCCAGCGAAAAACGGGGAGGGTGGCAACGCCTGGAGGAAAATCCAGCCGGGGGGGGGGGGGGGTTTGGGGGTTTGGGGGGTTTGGGGCGTTTGGCTCAGATCCGTTTTTGTTTTAGGCCTTGGGCAAGGAGGGCCCTAAAACCAGTATGTGTTTTCAGAGTTGGAAGCCCTGTTTACAGTTCAGCAGAATATTACTGTGTCGGTTGTTCCGCATACCATACGCGGTTTGGCAAGACGTCCAAGATCCAAAGCAAAACAAAACCAATGGAGAGCTTGCCGAAGGCACAGATCATTGAGGTTCGACCCTTCTCTGAGCAGTTACATACCGAGGTCCAACACATGGTCAGTTTGCAGCTTAGAACTCAGGTTTCCTGGCGTCAACCCTTGTGCATATGCTCGATTTCCTGTGGTCCCGGATCAAACGCACTTCGTGGTAGTAGGTTGCCAGTGCACTGTTGGAGGTCATTTCCAGCAACCAGTACGGTGTGTTCTGTAAGCGTGTGCGATGAATTATGAAGCTCACTAGTGACTCAGTAGGCTTGCGTCATGTTGCTAGCAGGAATGCAAATCTAGTTTCCAAGCAACCAAACACTCTCACAAGCACAGCCACACGCACGCGCGCACACACACACACACGCACCGCACACACACACACACACACACACACGCACCGCACACACACAGACACAGACACAGAGACACAGACACACAGACACACAGACGCAGAGACACACACACACACACCAAACATACGTACTCGCGCAGGCACACGCATTGGCACACGCGCAGGCACTCACGCAGGCACTCGCACAACGCGCGCACCCACACACACACACAACACACACACACACATGATCGCAGCTCAGCCTTGCGCCGCGCCGTTTGCCTATCGGGCCAAGGATGTGGGCGTCGTGGATGCCTTGGAAGGCCTCTTCGAAGATGATGAGGTGCTGGTGGCGAGGCCACAGGAGAAGAAAGAGAAGAAGAAGAAGAAAAAGGACAAAAAGGAGAAGGACAAGGATACCGACATGGGTGGCTTGCGATTTGGAAGACTCAGTGAGTCATCCGTCAATATTCAGTCTGGTACTTACTGACGATCTTTGTCTTGTGCACAGACCTTTGTAACAAGTTGGCGAAAGCTGTCCGGTTTGCTGGCCAGCTGCATGTTTTGACCGAAGCACTGCGCACACAAAGCAGTTCATTCCAGCAGCAAGGCCAACTTTATGCAGTTGCAGGATAAGGAGAAGAAAAAGAAGAAGGAAAAAAAGGACAAGAAGAGGAAGCATGATGATGAGGATGAGGATTGAGGATTGGTGCTGGATGGATTTCAACATTGCTGCCGAACGTGAAACAGTGTTCGGTCCACAGAGCAAGAAAAAAGCGTGCTCATGCTTCACGGCATCCAATTGTGACTGACTGAATCTTTACACAGCTGTTTGCTTGCTTGCTTGTTTTTTGTTTGTTTGTTTTTTGTTTGTTTACTTGTTTGCTTGCTTGTTTGCTTGCTTGTTCGGCTCGGCTCGGCTCGGCTCGGTTTGCTTGTTTGGTTTGTTTTGTTTGTTTGTTTGTTTGTTTGTTTGATTGATTGTTTGTTTGCTTGTTTGTGTGTGTGCTTGTTTGTTTGGTTCGGTTCAGTTTGGTTTGGTTTGCTTCTTGTTCGGTTTGGGTTGGTCAGGCTTGTTTATTTGCTTGTGTGTTTGGTTGTTTGCTCGCTTGCTTGTTTGTTTGTTTGTTTGTTTGTGTGAAGTGAAGTGAAACGCCTTCACGTGGCTTGCAGGTGATTTGTGGAATCAAAATGGGGCCCTCCCTCCACACCAGTCACCTTTTGCTTGGTCTGACAAATCCAATAATTTGCAACCGAAGTGCCGCTCAGTACACAGCCGAGCGTGACGCGCTGCAAGCTGCGGGAGGGCCTGGACAAATCCGCGCTGGACATGGGCTCGTCTTTCGTCGAGGGACCTTCCTTTCGAGCAGTCCCAAAACGGGCAGCCTCAAAAAACACCTCAAAGGGGAACCCCACATTTTTCGGGCCCCCGCATTTTGAGACAGTGACTTGGGTCTGTCTCCAAAAGGGGTGGAAGCCCAAAAAAAATGCGGATTCCTTTTGGAGCAAACCCAAAATGGTAACGAGCCTCAAAAGACGACAGCCGATGTTTTGGATGATGAGAGGTCATGGGAGATCCTGGGGGGTCGGCCCTGATTGATACCTGGGGCTTTTTGACCAGGTGCCAACACTGCGAACCATCAATGCGTTGTTGCACAGGTGATTGTGGGTGGATCGGATGTCGGCATAAGGGTTGTTGATAGTTGGCGCGGCAGGCTTTAGAACCTCGATGGCATGCTTGCAATTATGTTCAAAGAGTCAGGTGCGGGCTGGCTGACCAACGCCGTGAACGATGCAGGATTTAGCAGCGGCTCTCATGACCAACTATGTTATAAATATATATATATATAATTATATATACATCTATTTATATGTATGTATGCAGCTTAAGACACATATGTATAGGCATCACATATTTTTATTACTATGTATATTATCATCACAGTAGCAACCAACAACACGATGCATAATACATCATGGTTTTCCACCTTTGGACTACCACAATCATGCTAGGATGCAGACCATGCCTGACCCAGTGACCTCTACATAAAGGCGACAAGCAGATTCTACTGATTTGGTTAGCCCTGGGATTCGGGCCAGGCTCGCCTGTCCATTGGAATCCATGCATGTGTGTTGTTGGCTGTTAGGCAATGACTGGAAAACAATTGGCTGGCCAGAATGAAGACGCACGTAATGGCTTTGGCTATCATATCCTAGAAGTTACAATCATTACATGCTGCTTGCTGAAGGCACGCCTGGAGCGGGAGCAGCGGGCTGGACAGGCGGGGAGCAGTGGCATGTGTCACAAGCGAGTGCCACCAACAAACATGAAAATGCACAGGCCCATGTCCCAAAGGAAAGCAACAACGTAGTCATCTAAAAGAGGTCGAACTTGGACTTTGCTTCTGTGTTCGGTGGGAGCATGCGGTTCGAGTTGGAGTTGTGCGGCGTAGATCTTTACCACATAGCTGCACTTGGTTCGGGCCAGCCATGCGCATTGATTTGTAGAGCGGCACTGGTTTTGCGAAAGAAGTGATGCTCTAGAGTTGGGGTGCGTGCGAGTCGCTGCTCACTGGGTGACTAGCAAGTACTCAGATTCGGAGCTTATGTACTTGTGTATGCTTCCATCCCGTTTTGGCGCCCATCCGCTTCATTTGAAGGGGCCAAGCTTTCTCTGGGGCATTCAGTGTACGAAGGCCATTTTGTTGTTTCATATCTATATCTTCTTCATGTTCTCTTGTTGCACCACCATCAATATTATCACTGACATTGATATCATGTTTATTATTATTGTTATCGGTGTTAATGTTATTCTTCGTAGTTTTCTTCTTTTCTTCTTATGATTATTATCATCATTATTATTAGTAGTATTTGTATTATTATTAGCATTGTTATTATTGTCATTGTTGTTAACATTGTTTTGATTATTATTATTATTATTAGTAGTAGTAGTAGTAGTAGTAGTAGTCAAAGGACGTTTAACAAGAAACTTTTGTAGTACTGGAACTAAATGAGCTAGCTGCTTCGACATATGGCCATGACAGATAGCTTGACGCATAGATAGCTTTCCAAAATATGGCTTTGACAGATAGATAGCTTTGACATATAGATGGATAGATAGCTTTGACAGATAGAGAGCTTTGACACATATAGCTAGCTTGACGACAGATAGATAGCTTTGACACATATAGCTAGCTTGACAGAGATAGCTTTAGGATGCATAAATGTGCGCGAAAAAAGGTACGATGAATGCTGAAATCAGGAGAGCCGGGTGATGGCCAGATGCAGAAAACGTTGGCGCTGTGCGTGAATTGGGCTTCCGGACAGTGCGCAAACCACCTCGGTCGCAACGCCTGTACGGAGGCGGTCTCGGAACGGGTTCGGAGATGTGACCATTGGCACGGCCGCGCGCAGGTTTCACAAGGTTTGAATTGCGTGGCAGGCGCAGTACTTTGGCAGGCACAGCACTTTCGCAAGGTCAAGTACAGATTTCGTGGCAGGCGCAGCACTTTCGTAAGGTGCCTCTGCGAGCTGGAGGAAAGCAAGATGCAGAAACGTTGGCGCTGTGCGTGAATTTGACTTCCGGACAGTGCGCAAACCACCTCGGTCGCGACGCCTGTACGGAGGCGGTCTCGGAACGGTCCCGGAACGGTCTCGGAACGGTCCCGCACGGCCGCGCGCAGGTTTTCAAAAGGTTTGAATTGCGTGGCAGGCGCAGTACTTTGGCAAGGTCAAGTATAGATTTCGTGGCAGGCGCAGCACTTTCGCAAGGTCAAGTATAGATGTCGTGGCAGGCGCAGCACTTTCGCAAGGTCAAGCAGGCGCGCCACTTTCGCAAGGTCAAGTATAGATTTCCTGGCAGGCGCCGCACTTTCGCAAGGTCAAGTATAGATTTCGTGGCAGGCGCAGCACTTTCGCAAGGTCAAGTATAGATGTCGTGGCAGGCGCAGCACTTTCGCAAGGTCAAGTACAGATTTCGCGGCAGGCGCAAGGTCAAGTCTAGATTTCGTGGCAGGCACAGCACTTTCGCAAGGTCAAGTGCAAAATCCGTGGCAGGCGCCGCACTTTCGCAAGGTCAAGTATAGATTTCATGGCAGGCGCCGCACTTTCGCAAGGTCAAGTATAGACTTCGTGGCAGGCACAGCGCTTTCGCAAGGTCAAGTATAGATGTCGTGGCAGGCGCAGCGCTTTCGCACGGTCAAGTATAGTTTTCGTGGCAGGCGCGCCACTTTCGCAAGCTCAAGTATAGTTTTCGTGGCAGGTGCAGCACTTTCGCAAGGTCAAGTATAGTTTTCGTGGCAGGCGCAGCATTTTCGCAATGTCAAGTATAGATTGCGTGGCAGGCGCAGCTCTTTCGCAAGGTTAAGTGCAAAATCCGTCACAGGCGCGCCACTTTCGCAAGGTCAACTTTCGCAGCCGGGCTCGAAAATCGCAACTTTTAAGTAGGAAAGCAGTACAAGAAGTCAACTTCCGCAGCTAAGGCTCCAAAATCGCAACTTTTAAGTACGAAAGTAGTACGTGAAGTCCACTTTCGCAGCTGGGGCTTGAAAATCGCAACTTTTAAGTACGAAAGTAGTACGCGAAGTCCGCTTCGCAGCTGGGGCTTGAAAATCGCAACTTTTAAGTACGAAAGTAGTACGTGAAGGCCACTTTTGACAATCGCAACTTTTAAGTGCGAAAGTAGTGCGCGAAGTCAAGGGCTGGAAAATCACAACTTTTACGTACGAAAGTAGTACGTGAAGTCCACTTTCGCGAAGTCAATTTTCGGCTTGAAAATCGCAACTTTAAATGGATAGATAGATCGATGGACAGATAGAGAGATAGCTAGAGAGATAGATAGAAAGAGAGATGGAGAGAGAGAGATAGATAGATAGATAGAGAGAGAAAGAGTGCGAGATAGATAGATAGATAGACAGACAGAGAGAGACATAAAGAGATAGAGAGACCTCTATCTCTTTCTCTATCTGTCTATCTCTCTATCTCTTTATCTATCTATCTATTTCTCTATCTCTCGTGCATTCATCCATCTCTCTATCTCTCTATCTCTCTATCTCTATCTTATCTATCTCTATCTTCTCTATCTCTATCTTCTCTATCTCTATCTTCTCTATCTCTCTTTGTCTCCACCTATCTATTTGTCTACCTCTCTATCTGTCTATCTATTTATCTATCTATCTATCTATCTATCTATCTATTTCTCTATATTTCCTTATCCATCTACTTATCTATCTATCTTTCTCTCTATCTCTTTTTCTATCTCTTTGTTTATCTCTCTCTCTCTCTATCTATTTATCTATCTGTCTATCTATCTCTTTATCTATCTGTCTGTTTATCTCTCTATCTATCTCTCTCTCTCTATCTATCTATCTATCTGTCTATCTATCTCTCTATCTCTCTATCTCTCTATCTCTCTTTCTTTCTATTTATCTATCTCTATATCTCTCTGTCCATCAGATAGATAGAGAGATAGACAGATAGATAGATAGATAGATGGAGAGATAGATAGATAAAAAGATAGACAGATAGAAAGAGATAGAGAGAAGGAGAGATAGAGAGATAGATAGATAGATAGAAAGAGAGATAAAGAGATAGATAGAGAGACACATAGATAGATAGATAAACAAACAGAAGATAGATAGACAAATAGATAGATAGATAGATAGGGGAGAGACCTTAGATAAAGAGATAGAAAGAGAGATAGGG